TCTGGAATGCCGCACATCTGCGAGGACACAAGGCCCACTCGCTCCCTGTCCTGTCGAAGCTCTGTTCCTGGGAAGACTGTAGAGGGTGGTCTACTGTGTACTACCCTCTGGCTCTGCCCACCCGAGCCCACTTGTTTCAGCATGTGCTGGAACGGACCAGAGAGTGATGATGAATGAACTTGAGGCCAATGTGACAAAATTGGACCAACTGCCATTGCAGAGGCCCAGCCTGCCGTGGCCAGCAGACTCCAGGACTGGCTGACTAAGCATGTCCTCCAGGCAGGACATCCAGCAGGGCCATGCCACTCCAGCCAGCGATGGGAACTCAAGGGATGAGGAACTGGTGACACCAACAGCTGCTTACTGGGCCCCAGCCACAGGACGGGCTCCGTGTGTATGTCCTATTTGCTGACAAGTCCCAAGGACCTGGGAACCCCAAACAAGTCCCTGGAAGGGTAGGAGCTGCCAAGGAGAGAAGGATTCAGAACTCTCTGCCTCAGGCTCTGCCTGGTCTCTGAAAGCCATTTCAGGACTGTCACCTGTCAGTAAGAGAGAAGCGACTGAAGAAAGAGGTCAGAGACCTCCAGAAAAGTCTTTCTGCCTTCTTTTTCCCTTTCTGCCTTTTTTCCTTTTTTTTTTTTTTTTAAAGAGATTTTTGCTACAAGGCATGTGTGTTCACTGGAGAGGCAGATACGGAAAGCGAGAAATTGTCCCCCAGGGGGAATGGCTATGCTGCAACCCCTTCTCCTCTACTTTCCTCTCAGGATTTTGGGCACGCATGTGCACGCACCCAGTGAGTTTTAGGCCATCAAGTCCAGGACTTAAACCATGGTCAACTATGTGGGCATCCAGTGTCATAACCATTATGCCATCTGCTGGTCCCAAGCCATTCTGCCTTTTCTCTCACTTTCAGTTTGCTATAGGGTGTGTGCCTTCAATAGAGACAGAGGGAGTGAGGAGGAAGCTCTGAAATTTCCTCGCTGGCCCCATCACTCAGCCTGAAGCCCCCAGGCCCTGACTTTGCTCTCTGAGTGAAGTGTTGATAGTAAGTCTCCCTGTGGGACCGCCACCAGCGCACAGGCTGCAGCCTGCGAACTGACGCAGAGTGACGTCTTCTCTTCCCTGCCCAGTCCTGACCGTGCGACCCCTGTCCCCATCGGGGTAAGCTGGCCACTTTCACCTGTGCCTGTCTTCTACACCTAGAGAAGAGAAAGAGGAAAGGAGGGGAATAGAGAGAGAGAGAGATACGTGGAGAGAGAGGGACAGACACACCATGACACCTCGCCCACACACTTGCTGGCCAGGAAAGGCTGTGATGTCCTGGTAGCCTGCAGAGGGCTTGTCCAAGTGCTCCCCGTGCCCGTTCCCTGGCTGACAGACCCGGCTCTGCCTCATCCCACTCCAGGCAGTGGCTGGACCCAGTCCTCTCCTAGTTGCCATGGAAGGAGGCCCCCCTCTTGCCTCCTCTGGCTCAGGAACACACAAAGGATGCCTCGAGGGAGCTGTGGGAAGTGGGGCTCCTAAGACCAGGTTGGTCCCAAGATATCCATCCAAGAAAGAAAGGAGACTACCTGCAGGACAGAAGCCTCCAGGAGGAGCCTGGGGAGCTGCTTTCTAGCTTTCCTCCTCAAGGCTCCATCTTGACCCCACCTCTACATAAGAAAGACATCCTTTGTGGCACAAATAAGTTCTTGGATGAACAGTGAAAGACCACAGTGGAAAGGCATTTTATCCGGTCCCTGCATACAAGGTAGCTGACTAAAGCCGAAAGTGTTCTGTGGAGATGAACAAGGGTGTCACCGAAGGCTGCTCCTGCAGCAGGCCTTCCTGTGCTCTCTGCTGGGACTTGGCCTTGCAGCAGAGGGCCAAGCAACGACGGCGTGAGCAGCTGCACTGGAGCAGGCTGGCATCACCAGTCTCCTCCTCCCAGGTACTGGTGATGAGATGCTATTTTCTATGTGACTGTTGGAGACCCATCATGGCTTTCAAGTAGTTGTGCTGAATGCAGACAAGGGGAGAAAACAGAAATTGATCAGAAGGTATGGACTTAGGGACCCAAAAGCCATGCCACCCACATTCCTCCTGTCACTCTTCCCGCAGACTTCAGGTTTGGACAAGGATGCCTTTGACTAGCTCCAGTTCTGTGAGAAACAACATTCTGTTGAAACTTTCCCATTCCTTTATCCTAAAGGAGGTATGTAAAACTATTTTATGGGACCGGCAGTTGGTGTAATGGCTATGTTGCTGGACTCCCATGTAGTCAACCATGGTTCAAGTCCTGGACCCAGTGGTTTAAACTCAAGCCAGACGCCTGTGCATGTGTGCCCAAGATCCCGAGAGGAGAATGGAGGAGAAGGGATTGCAGCATGGCTATCCCCCTTGGGGGGAAGGGGGCTGATTTCTCGTTTTCTGTCTCTCTGTCTCTCTGTCTTTCTGGTGAGTGCATGCACCCTATAGTAAAAACTTCTCAAAAACAAAACAACAACCAAAAAAACCCCTATTTCACATGGTCTGGTGGGCATGTTTAACAGGAGGCCTGCTGGGGCCAACAGGGGGCATGGAGGATATAATGCTGGGTCCCATCTTAACAGCTGAAGAAGGTATTAATAAACTGGAAGAGGAATCTAAAAATTATCTAAATTACAGCACAGAGAGAAACAAAAGAGATTTTAGGAAATACAGAGGATGACCAGCAGGTGTGGAGGTTAAGGTGGCTGGATCCCATGTGACAGACCGTATGATTCATGTCCCAATCCTGGCGGCTTGAAAGACATACTAGGGGCTGGCAGGTGACATGATGGTTAAGGCTCTGGACTCCCACGTGGTTGACCATGGCTAGAGTCCTGGACCTGGCAGCTTAGTTTCTTATTTTTCCCTTTCTCTCTTTCTCTGTCTCCATCTGGTCAAATTAAATAACAATAATAAATAAAATTAAGCAAATAATTATTAAAAAAAAAAACCAACAACTTATTTCTTAGACAAAGAAAGACACACACACTGGGTATGTGTGTGTACATGCTCAAAATCCTAAGAATGGAAGAGGGATTATGATGTGACCATCCCTCCCAGGGAGTGATTTCTCACTTTCTCTCTGTCTCTCTCTGGCCAGTGCATGCCCCTGGAGCAAACCACCAAAAATAAATAATTACATAAAAAGCCTGTAAGTGTGATACACAAAGTCTGCTCCTGGACTACAGCTTGGGGCTTGGACATCCCCTGGGAGCTTAATGGAAATGCAGACTGTCAAGCTCCACCCCAGACCGGCTGCAGCAGAACGTGCCTTCTAAGGAGAGCCGGGCGGTCCGTGTGCGGGGCACCAGGTAAGAGGTGGTGCTTCGTGGACCTTTCAGAATTCATGTAACAGTCTCTGAATGGACTCTAGCTCCTCGTCGTCATCAAGCTGGTAAAGATGTCCGCCGAGGTAGTCCTCAGTGTAGAGTGAATTCAACTGGAGGAGGAGCTTTCTGATTGTGACAGAGAGTCCAGATGCTAAGAGAGCAGCCTGAGGGGACTGCCTGGGCAACACCGTGAGACTCTCAGAAAGTGCTGGGCATGGCCGTGCAGGCGTGGGGTCCCAACAGAGTACAACTACAAAGGCCATAATTAAAGACAAATGGCAAATAAGGAAAAATAGTTGCAACTCATACCACAAAGAGAATTTCCCTTGTACGTAAGAGTTCCTACAAATGAATTAAAAAAACCCAAAACCTATAGGGAATGGGCAAAAATATGAACAGTTTACAGGGGGAAAGGTTGTAATGATTCGTGAGTGTTTTTTTCTGTTGTTGTGTTGTTTTGGTTTTTAGATTTTCGCCATATGGTGCATGTGCTTGCCAGAGACAATGAGAGGAAAAGTGAGAAACCACCCTCTACAGGGATGGCTACAGTGCAATCCCTTCTCTATTCTCCTCTCGGGATCGTGGACACACATGCACATGCACTCAGCGTGATTTTCAAGCCATTGGTCCGGGACTTGAACTGTGATCAGCCACGTGGGAGTTCAGTGCCTTAACCACCATGACAAATACTGGTCCCTCATGTTTTAATGTGTAAAGCACCTGAATGTATCACCTACTGAAAATATAATTAAACCACTACAAAAATATTTTTGTGTAAATAAGCTCATTGGGGTGTTACCCCTTGTGCCTTGCCCCCTGCTGTATAAACTGCCTCTGGGCACAGTGGGGCAGCAGGGCTCTGTGTTCTGGCTCCAGGCAGGGCCTTCGCAGAGTGAGGAACCTCTGCTCCAGCCCAACGAGCTCCAGAGGAGAGGCCCAGGCCCGACCTGCGGCTAACACCTTGGCTCGCTCTGCTCCGGCTGCGTGTGGTCCTCTGTCCCTGCTACCTGTGCATGGTGAGTCCTACTGGGGAGCAGGCTGTGGTCTCATGGGATCTCTGGGCCTTGTTTCGGGCTGTGAACCACACAGTGCTGGCTTAGCTCTCACCAGCCACGTGCAAGCGTGGTCATCTGTGGGACCCTTCTAGGGTACAGCCCAGTCCCAGTCTGGAGCTGGCAGAAGACGCCAATGCCTGTGGGAGACTGGATCTCCCTGAGCTGGCACGGTTCCTCCCCACCCCCGCCTCTCTGCAGCAGGCAGTGTGATTCTGGGTTTCCTGGGAAGAGGGTTCCTAAGGCCCAGCCCCTAGAGACATGAACCTTGCGTGTTACCTTCTGTTCTGTCTTGAATTTGGCATTGTAGAAGGAGACGGAATCAGGGCCCTCGGGCAGTGCCGTCTGCTGCAGCTGGCTGAACCTGTCCTGGTCATCTTCTCCCTGGGGAGGCCCGACCAGCACAGCCCCTTCAGCCTGACACTGTCAGGGTGCCCCCAGCAGCGCCTGTGATGGGCGTGAGGGCAGTCCCTCGCTGGATTGGCAACCCCCCCACCCAAGGTGTCACAACCATCCACGTCTGTCAGCGTGCTCAGATGCTCTGTAACTGCCATCTGGCAGGTGAGCAACCCCACAAAAGTAAAAGTAGCAAGAGTGGCGTTTTCTGTGTTCCCATCCTGGATAACTATACATACCACCTGCTTGGGCCAGCCTGGGAGAGGTGGGAGCATCCCACATCCTGCCACGTTTGTGCAGAGAACAGGACGAGAGGGGCTCCCCACTGCCTGTGCTCAACATGCGCACCCCCAACCGGGCCACTCACCAGGGACACGATCCTGCTGACAGGCACCATGCCTGGTCGGATGCTGCTGCCTGGCTTCAGTGCCGCCTGCATGTCCTCAGGGATGACAAAGGACTCATTGTACCAGATGTCGAATTCTGCAAGAAGCCGGGAAATAGTACCATGGGTGTAAGGGAGCCCCTGAGGAGGCACGCAGAGGCTGTGTGCTCCCGTCTTGTCCCCCTCACTTCTTGCTCCAAGGTCTCAGCCCATCCCATCTCCGTCTCCAGCCCTCCTAGTCCTGAAGGAACATGTCTGAAGCCCTGCCCCGCCTCTCCCTCTGCCAGAGATGCTCAGAGGGTGCCTGTGGAACTCAAGCTGTGGCCTTGCCCCGAGCCTCCCTGGACCTCCCCCGCTGTCACACCCATGAGCAGGCGGTGGCGACACTGATCCACCAGGCGCTGGCAGTACTGGATCTCGGCCTTGAGGTCACACAGGTCCTGGTACTCGCTCCGGTACTGCTTCTTGAGGTCTTTGACC